TATTAAAGCATCACCCCAGTGAAGACTGCTTCTCACAGCGTGTTCAAGGCCAGGCACTTCTTACTGCATGCTATGTTTTGGAAAGAAGTTCTTGCTGCCAAATATGTCCTTTACCCCACCCTATTTCTTTCTACTGCAGAGAAATTAAATACCATACATAACTGCAGGCAAATCCTCAAATTTCCAAGAAGCAAACTCTGAAACATGTGATCTCAACAGAAATTGGAAATTGGAATGGTATTTTGAATGAGGTCACACCGGAAATTTATCTTCTTGGAAGTTGATCTGTGGCAGCATTGTAAATAAATCTTGTAAGCTTCTCACCTTTCTGAAAGATGATTAGCAAGGAAGCAGTAAATAGATGCATTTTTCATTGATTACATAGTTTGAAGTGAAGTGTTAAAAGTTTAAATTTTCAATTTAAGTTGTGTTTGCAGGTGCTCATAAGGAAGCCCCATCCGAACATTTAAATAGGATTTGGATGCATTGGGCATATCCTTCAGACAGATCTCAGAAGCCCATGGTTAAGCATCTATCAAAATGTCACTTCTCAAGGGTGTCAGAATGAACCTTTAGCAAGGTCAAGCATGTTCCTGACTTCTTTTTCTCCAGAAGATGCTCCAGCATATCAGGACACTGTGATCAGCACGATGGCAGTTGACACCGTGAGGACCATATTGCTAATCTCCCCATTTTGCAGAATACATGTGTTCTGTGGAGTATTTTCTGCTCTGAATCAGGATGTTTAGGAGTTCAAATCAAATGTTCTTACTGAGAGAGTCAGCCAGCTAATCTCCATGCCAGGAAATGAAGCCATCTGATGTCCTGAGGTGAAGCTATAGGAGGCTGTATGAGTCCAGAACAACTTGAAATCTGTTTTCTAAATAAATCCTCATTGGTTTGGAGTGTTTATTTTCTACTACAATCAGTATTGCCTTATTTTTATTTTCAGGCATTATCAAGGGGACAAATGCAGAATCTGCTATTACAGGTATGATTTTACAGTTTTTTATCTTTCTAAGGCAGTTTGCAAAAAATCCTGAGTGCTGTCTGAAGGTGAGAGAGTAACACTTCATACTCGCAAGTTGCAAATTTGCTACTCTGCCTCTGAATCTTGTGCATTGCAATACTGGAAATAAAGGTCCTGGAGGCTGAGAGAAGCATGTACTGTTTGTTTGGCTCTGAGGATAAACTGCTATTGGTAAGACATTAACCTCAAACAAATGAAAATTTTCGGCTAGAGAAGTCTTTTAAAATTTTGTCTTATTAGCCCAATAGGTCTCTATCCTCTGATCTTTTGGAGAATGAGGAAACGTCAAAATAAAACCCCTCTCCTCTTAATTTTGAAATGAGTACCTTCATAAGATCAGTATGAGCATAGGACCTGCTTGCAGAAACAACTTGTGCTTTCCAGTCACTGTCTGAAGGACTTATATTCCTCCACCGACTATAGAAGGCTCGACATTACCTGAGTGTGAAGACATACACACACACAAATCTGATTAGTGCTGGTGCCGAAAAGGAAAGAAGATCCTCTTCTCAGCTCCCCTGCTGGCTCCAGTTTCCATGTCAGCTTTCCTTGTGCCAAGTCTGGCGTACAGCACAACCCGCCATAGACCTTCTCGACTCAGGAGCCCAGGAGAAAACTAAAGCCATCAGAAAACTGCACACAGCTCTCTGCCAGCTTCATAAGCTGAACTGCTCCAGTGAAGAGCCCAGTGAGTTTCAGAGTAAGTCCTATGACACTACACCACGATAAGATGATACGGGTGTATAAGAGCAGTGAGATCACCTGCTTGCAGCTTTTTGTAGGAAGCTTGGATAATTTTGGAGGAATTTGGGCAATTTAAAGAAATTCCCCCCATCATGTGAAGCTGCTTGGAGTTCAACAGGGAATTTCTGTGCTTAAGACCCAATTGCTAGGGGTAAAAATGCCAGGGAAAGATGCTGAAGTCCCAGGACATGGGTCTGTTGGTTTGTATAAGGCTTGTGCTGGCACAGAGACCAAAAGAACTTAAATTGTTCAAAGCTCAGTACAAACTGACTTCTGGTGGTACCAGAATATCAGATACCAATTAAGAGGTCCATTTAAGGGCCAAGAAAACAGTAAATGTTCTGCTGACTGGGCAGTCTCCACTACCACTCTCCAAAACCTGCAGGGGACAAGGCATCTCAGCAATGAGGGGCACTGCCAGTAAGGTCACGTCGTCTCTGCCTCACTCTGCACACAGCTTGTGGGATTGTGTTCAATGACTACATGAGTGCCAGTAGCAGCATTTTGGGGTCTCGACCACCTTTATCTAGAGAAATTGGGAGGATTTATAGACTATAATCTAAAAGGAAAGGAAGACCTCTGTCTTTTTTGCCTTTGAAGTTTACACTCTTTCTTCCCCTTATTACTAGACGTTTTTCCAGAGAAGAGAATGAATTTCATCATCAATATATTAGACAGCTGTGTAAAAGAAGAAGTATTTTTCCAAAGAGGAAGCTCAAATGTTTCTCCCCAAGGCAATTAAGGATCAAAAGAAGGACACATTGATTTTTCGAATAAAAGAATTTTCAAATGAGAGTCCCTTACTCTTTGGAGATTTTTAGAAAATTATTTGCAGATGGCACATCTCTCCTCGGTGTGACTTCTTCCAGACACAGGGAGCATTTAGCACGTCCGCAGTTTAGAGGCAGTGCAGCTTGATCCTTTATGTTCTGACTTAGTAAATGAACATATTACTGTGAGTACCTCCTGGATAAATAACAGCAGTTTCCTTACAAAACGATCAAAGGAAATGTTAACAAAACCCTGCCACTGGCACAATACAAAGTACCCGTTTATCAACTCTCTGCAATTATTTACACAAGAAGGTCCCCCAGAGCCCAAGGAGGCACACGGTGCCAGCTGTGACGCATAGCCGCATACACCTGGAGCTGAGGGCGATGAGAGGAGCCAACCTCTGTGTCCCTTGGACACAAACCTACATGAATGGTATTGCTGTTGTTCTGGGAAAGCAGCTCAATGGAAAAGTCTGTTTCAAGTGCAGTGGTCCGTATAGATCAAGCGCAAAATGCGTGGATTTGGCAAAATATTCAGAGAAGAAAACCTTAAAAAATGCAGTCAAAAACTTTACATCCAAACTACAGCTTCCAGATGTGTATCAGAACACCTAGAAATTATTACTAAGGTGAAAATCATATTTCTTTATTTGGCTCCATGTCCTGTCTTTGTGTGCTGTGTTCTCACCATGAATTATGCCAATAATTTTGTTCAGTTTAACCAGTGAAAGATACACGTGTGAAAAGATTAAATATGTAATTTTTGAAGTTAGACATGACCAAGTCCTGTCAAGCGTAAAACTAAGTTTGTCTTAATAAGAGTTGTTAAATACTAATGTTGTCTCAAAGATGTATCTTTGCCTCAAAAACTGACTTATGAAAGGGCACTCTACAATTTTTGATATTTGTGAATGCATATTAAATGAATATCAGCAATGCAGTGGTTGGAGGAAGTCAGTAAATTACTGTATGGCATAAGGAGACATTTAACAGCAACAAGTTGAAGATGACATGTCTTGAAAAGTGCCTCATCATATTTTGGAATGCTGGTTCAGTACTAATGCAATAGGAGGACTGCCTGCTGAACCAGCAACAAGACCTTCTTTGCATAGAAACTTGGGGTTTCACGCTGAGTCTTCCCTCCTCGTGCTGACTTTCTGTTGTGCATTTCTGAGAAACAAGGTCGCAGTCTCTGGGGCAGCATGACATTCTGTGTATGCAATTCAGACTGCTCCAGCAAGAACATATGCCAATACTTTTGGGAAAGGATATTTTTTTCATTTCAGTGTGAAAGCACCTGTGAAAGTACTAGCATGTGAGGGGCTCAAGAGACTGGCAAGAGAATTACATAGGAAAAATTATATTATAGCCTCTTGAGAAAAGAAATTTATGACAGGTGGGTTAGGTACAAATATCTGAACAGTACATCACTAAATGATTAAGAAAACCCTAGCAATACTGCCTCAGTGGGCAGAAGGAGCAAGAACCCAATTGAAAGCCCAGTATCATTAGCAATAAAGTGCCAACTGAGTTTGTGAATTCTGAATCAGGATGACTTTTGGAATGAAAGAAGGGTTGTAGCTGGATAAACAAGGAAAAAAAAGCGTTGGCAGAAAATTCTTTTCACCATCAGTAATGAATTTGTTGACAGATATTATGTAGAACTGGATACAGGCATTGCCTGTACATGAATGGTTTAAGCAAAAATTACAACATGCACCCTTTCAGAAGATTATATGACAAAAATAAACATCTACAGTGCGAACAAAAGCATCTCTGAGCTCCACAACTTATCATATTTCAAAGGAGTTTTATACTAAGAAAATTTACAGTTGAAAATTTCATGGGTATACTCTCATAGGCTTAGTCTTAACCAAGAATAACATAAGCACTGTTTGTATCTAAAAAAACCAGCTTTAAGTAGCAAAGCAAAATAATTATTAGGCTAGTTTCTCCACCATGTTAGGCAGTTGCAAAGATTTATAGACTAATTCTGCAGGCTGTTTTTTTTTAATTTAAACTACAACTACCAATTAAAAGGAAGTATTTCAACAAAAGAGAAAGTAATTTGAGATTATATTTGAAAAAACAATTTGGAGTTTACAGAAAAAGTAACTTTGAAAAATTACCTGAGGGTTGTAACTATACACGATTGTTCTTATGGGAGCTTACAGTTGGGAAGTGGCTGGCCTAACCTGTTTCTCTCGAATGCAAATTCTTCACTGACGTAGTGGAATGGCGTTGTACAATGTCCATGCTGGAAGGGGATGGGCAGCAGCAATCTCACAGCTGGCTTTGTATGCTGTAGGAACAGGAGCCTGGCGACTGTCGAAGCAAAGTTAAAACTTCTGACTGATCAAATGTCCCATTTGTATCCAAGGCAGGGGGTAAAGTGCAGAGATCAGGAAAAACGGAAATTATAGTTTCAGTACTGAAGTAACTCTACGGCTGAGGGGAAATGGGCTGATCTGTTGTTACTCTTGTCTAATTCTGCTGGGCTTGCTAAATCTGTGGACAAAGTGGAGTGAAGAGACAGGAAAAAGCAAGACAACATATCACTTCACCTTTTTAGCTTCTGCTGTTTGTTTCATCTTTTTTATTTAACAAATTAAATGCATAAAAGTGGTCCTTCTTGCTCCACTTTTAACCATCTTCTATTACATCTGACAGACACCTGGTTTCAGAATGGTTTGTTCTTCCAGTCATACTCTCATGAGATGGACATGAGCTCATATGCATCGTCTTACACTCCAAGCTTTTGTCTTTGGAGAGTCAGTTCTGAAAAGAAGTTCCTCTTTGAACCTGCTTTCCTATGATCTCTGTGTGCACCAGTGGTCACCCCCCCAATAAAGGTATGCTTGTTTGTCCTTGCAAATGCAAACACCACAATCAGGGACACCTTGTTATAAAGTCTATAGCCTCTAGGGACATTTAACCATAATAAACAAGATCCTTTTCAGTCAACCATGCCTGACAATGTTGAAGTTAATTTTAGTCACTTGCTGTTTCCATGAATCTACAGTGTAGGTTCTAAATCATGAGCTCTGTCCCAGCAGTCTCAACAAAAATCAAGAAATGTTTTATTTCTAGAATTGAAGTAAAACTTACCACAATAGCATTCTGTATTGCAACTTTGTAGTCTATTATCATCATTCTTACTCAGAGTGAAGTTAGACATTCCCAGCCCGTATTTATGATCAAGGATGCTTCAGAATAATCTATATAAATTGAGTTTTATTGATCATTGAACATCTGCTGGCACTTAAGCATGTGAAAACATAAGCATGAACAAAAGCTTTGCAAGTTTGCATTTTTTGATGCTTATAAAATTATAATTTATAATCAAGTACAGTGTGTTATGTTTTCTTTATCACCTTCATAAAGATAAAGTAATGTAAGCAGGGACTGGGATTACAAGACCACTACAAGATTCCAAAGACTTAGGGTTTTATGATTTATGGAAGAAAAATTTCATTATTTTTCCCTTACATCTGACACAATTTAATAGCGTTTCACCTGCTGTGGCAGAGGGTGTGTGCCAAACTATGATTATTGCAAACTAAATTGGAAGTGCTATAAAATAATATTTTCTTACGATACATCCATTGCCAAAAGTGGAATGGCTTTGTCCAGCTTTCTGATCATACAGCTTTGACCCATCCTTTCCAACACCGACTGATATAGAACATGTAAAGGTGCTTCTTGAAGTATGAGCACTTCACTCACAACTGTTTTGGGTGCTCAGACCCTTCCATGTGAGTACAGCTTGAGCAAAGACTCAGGGGGAAAAAACGTAGTACTGGAGAGAACTAAAACAGGAGGCCCTGCAACCGTTACAGATGTGGGTTCAAGAGAGGCCTCTGCACATCAAGTGACTGTTGGGAAATTATGTTCTTGTATGAAAATGTGGGTCATAGGAACTGAAAGCAACTCAGAAGAAGGAGCCTTTGTCTCATTTCCCAGAGTTATCAAGCCTCTTTCATGTGGCCCGACCTTCTCTCTTTATTTCAAAAGTCAAACATGAGCTAAACCAAACATGCTAGCAGCATGCCCAGGTGTGGAAGCACACTCTGAGTGTACAGACCTGCTAGTGTAGGTCTGACCAGCACCAGGCAAGAGGACTCCTGAACCTCAAGTTGAACACAGGTTTTGCTAGGTAGGGATCACCTAGAAAGTCAGAACATGCTGGAAGATGTGGCTGCAAAGGCTCTGAGAATATCACAGTTTCATAGGGGTTTTAAGGTATTTGAAGTGAAGAAAGAACAACTTTATGTTCAAGACAGATTTTGTAAGAAATGGTGGCCTGTAATGAGTATCACACTTAGCTAGCTAAACCAGACTTTAAACCACATGGGCAAGATGATCTTTCATGGATAACAATTAACAATCATCCATCCTTAAATTTTAGAATGTAAAATAACTCTGAAAAGCTACTACATGCTGTTACCCATGTTTTTAACGAGAAATTCACCCTTTAATTGTCATCAAGACAATGCTGAGAAATTCGCAGGATAGTACCTCACATCTTCTCATTCCTGCCCCCCTCTCCCCATGTGTCCACTGCCTAATTGCTTGAGAATGAAATGCTGCAGATCTAAATACTCCAGACCAAGATAAGGAGGTTAAGCACAGCATCTTGACTCCTGCCCAGTCAACTCCTACACTGAGGTTAGGGACTCTGCCACTGAGCAGTCTCACTAGAGGGCAGCCAATAAAACCTCTAGCAATAAAATTGAAGGAGCTGAATATCATTTTTTTTTCTTTTTCCTTTCATCCTCGAGTGTGATGAGATATAAAAGTTGACCCCCTGAAACTGCTGCCAACAATGTGTTTGCTTTTTTCCATGTAGAGCTGTAGAGGAGGATCTACTCACCGCTTTATGTCCGTGAGACTCCTGAGGTCTGGTGGAGCCACAAAATCTTCATGAGATTTATGAAGGTGAGACAGCACTTGATGCAGAGCAGGGTAATTGTCACTTTCCCGCCCTTGTTTCTTTTCCTTGACTCCTTAAAGAAAATGTCACAACTTCCAACAAAATATGCGTAGTGTGATATGTGGTGCATTCTGAGTTGCTTGCCATAAAATTGGTTCTGAAGTAGTTATTGAGGTTCAAAAGTATCACAGCATTTCTTTATTTCTGTAGTCCTTGCAATAAACTGCAACCCTCAGTGCCTCAAGGTCATCTTACCTCTGTTTTCATAAATGCTTCCCAGTACCTGTCCTATCCTGTAACACCAAAAAAAAGAAGAAGCTATATACTTTCCAGAGAAACACAAGAACAAGATCTCAGGAGCTTCCAAGATAAATACATTCTCTGAATTCCATACATTCATCACGTAGTTTTTATTAGGCCAAAAATTTATTTACAAGATTTTATGCGGTTCTGAGCTGAGATACATTTTCTATCCCTATAGAAACGTCTTTATTTACTCAATAATATATTGCACTGCTACGCAAAAAAAAAAAGATAATTTAGTCACATGTTTTCTCTAGTCTTCATGTACCAGGAACAATGTCTACCAAAAAGAGTCCTTTAAAGCATAAAGTGTTTCAGAAATAAATACCACTAGATGTTTATAAAATATATTCCTCTAGCTGTGACTGCTAAGCACTCTGCTTGATGAAGGAGTTCATGTTTTAAATAATTCTGACTTTCCCTAAGGTGACTAAATGTATCAGGGTCAACTGTAATGTCGTAAATCTGATCCTGTTTATTCTACATGTTCAAAATCCCCATTTTCTTCAAAGGAAAGGATGGACAAAAGTTGCTAAGCTGAAACCTGATAGGTAAAATTTCATCAGAAAAATCTCATTGATGAAATGTAATTTATTGTAGAAGTTTCTATTTCCCATAAACACAGAAACAGTATTTGTTTTGCAGTATCAATTAATATAGCTGAGTGAGCAATTATACACAAATTTTCTGCTTTTTGTGGTTGTATAACAGCTGCACTTAGTTTGAAATTTCACCAGATATATTAATTACCCAAACATAGTTAACATTTTTTGCTCATGAGGGTAGCAACTTGAGCCTTTTTTTCTTAATCAATTAAGAATGCTCAGTCATTTTTGTTGCATATGTATGTGTTGCACACAAAATTCCTTCCAAATTGTTTTTGCCCATGATTACAAGGGTTCTGTAACGTTGGCTCTGCTGCCTGTTTGCGTGATCCTATCTCATCCATCAGGGGAATAGCCTGAAGATACTATCAAACCGGTAGTTGATGGAGCAGAAAACAAATAATACATGATCAGAGATTTCATAAAATGTTACCTTGTTTTCCTCTTCCTCTGCACCCCATAGACTTTTCTCAAACCATCCCTCTTAGACCAAAAAATGGTAAGATATATAGGCTGGGAGAGGAGTTTAATTCAATACCTACTCATTGCATTCACACAGAATACTTGAATGCACATGCAGAGCCTGGTTTTAAGGGGTACAATCAGGCCCTTATCTGATTCACCCTAAGGTCTCCTTGATAGGGAATTGGCAATGAACTTCAAAAGCCTTCTTGCTGCCTCACATCAAGAAGTTTTCCACCCAGAGGCAGGACTGGGTGGAATTAAGATTGTTCATGGAATACATAGTGTGATACTTCTGACACTTTAAAAAGATCTTGAAAAGCTGAGGTCAATAATTTGTTGATTTTTTTAATGTATTTGTAAATATTTTTCATTAGCTGTATTATCACGTGGTATATGGGACACTCTACCATATGTTTACTAGAAAGCACAATGTAAAGAAGTGCTGCTTTGTATTTAGTTGCTTTTGTTCTTTAAAAGACAAAGGTGATGCAAAGCCTACCAAAGTCTCTCCAACTCTGACTGCAGCAGTGGCCCGGCAGGATACCACTGAGGAGTTTAAAACTCCAGCCATCTGCCTGGCTCCATTCCTCAGATGCCCAACAGTGTGGAGCTTACAGCTTGCTTTCAGGACTAGCTGCGGTTACAAATTTGGGGATTTTTTTCAGTAATTATTATTGCCACAGTGATATTGCACTCTATAACTGTAGCAATAGCATTACTTTTGGTCACATCTGCTTCCTCCTTCTCCCCTTCTCTTGACCTTGTCTTGCTAAGGCATGAGAACTCTACGAGGAATGGCACTTCAGGCCAAGGGAATCCTCCCCAGTGTCCAAGGGCCAGAATTAAGAATCAAACACGGTAGCCTTGACTACACCACTCCACATCTGGACATACTGGCATTGGTCCTCAGAAGAGGGGCCTTACTGGCTTGGTTGGAGCACAAGGTGATGCTATATTCCAGCTTCCCAGCAGAAGAAGGAATGGTTCTCCTCTAAGCATGTTTTATTAACTCAGAACACACGTTTCCATTTATTTAAACCACATGGATGCATTTCATATTTTTATTACTTTTCATGACTGAGACCACCATAAATGCTTGCTATGCATCTTTGCATATTTTAGTTTCCTGAAGCAATTTTCTCTTATGTTAAGTATAAGCTCCACAAAACACATTATTCATTACAGACCTGGGTTGCCTTATGCAGTATGATGTTTCCTCCGTACATTTACTTAAATGTCTTTTGTGAAACAGTCCTACATATAGCGATATTTTACCTGTAAACTGTTTGAAAAAGAAACCTTTATAATTAAACATTGATTAAGGTTTAAATTCTGTGAAGAAAATGCTCAGTTTTGGGAATAATGTTTTCCATACCCAGTAGCTGCATGGTATGCTAAAGACTTGTTGATTTCATTGGGAATACTCACATGTCTTCACTTAAGCTTGCGCTAAAGTAGTTTGCTCTGTCACAGTAAGCAAATACCTTCTTGTAGAGATGTGATAGGCGGTAAAAATCCCAGTGATTAGGGTCCATCCTTATGTTTATGAAATCACCTGCTGAGTCCAACCAGCTGTAGTGACAATTGGACTGGCACAACCAGATCACTGGTGCAGAAACCTTTGAATCCCTAAAAAATGCTTATTTTAATCAAGTTCACCTTCATACTGGCTTTAAACAAATAATACGCAGATAAAAGGGTGTGCAATTTATTACTCATTCATTTATTTTCCAAACCATTGTTTTCAATAGTGGTCTTTATTACTTTTCAAATATCTATGCTCATCTGCACTGGGAAAGTAATGGAAGAGTGAAAATGCAGAATATATTCATAATAAGAGTAGTAATCAAACGCAAAGATGCAATGTTACTTTCAGGGGTGCCTAAAACTTCTCCTTTTTGTCAGTCCACCAAAAATACTCGCTTATAATTAAGGTAGAGAGTGGGTCAGTGGTTAATAATCTCATTAACCAGTAATTCTTGAACAGATAGGAAAGATATAAGTTGGGGAAGAATTAAGTTGGGGAAGGAGTAGAGTTGGTGCAGTTCAGACTCCTGATTGCTTCTCCCTGTACTAAGTCATCTCTATTGCACAGTGGCTGCACTGATCGGATTGATTTTTTTTCCCGGTGAAGTTAATGATATGAGGTGCAAAGAAGTAAATAATTTGGCCCAAGAGACTTTTAAAAGCCCACCAGTCTAAAACAATATGGGAATCATCCTATGCTGTGACTACATCATCACAGACCATTTAATTATACTCCAACAAGAATAGAGCTGTTGTCACAAATGCTGTCTGTAACAAAATAGATGTTTATCATTGACATACATTCTAAAACAATCCGAGATTACTCTTCATTTATTAGTGTTAGATTATTGTCACTAGATTATGGTGCTGTGAGTGTCTCTGATGCAGCACAGCAAGCTAAATCTATGGTGCCTCCCTCAAGTGCCTAAAATAAGTATCAAGTGTGGAAGTTTCTGAGATGTTCAGTGGAGAGAGGTGAAACAGCACATTTAAGCTAGGGTCCTGCCTTTGTTCAGCTTGATGGACAATTAAATACATAAACCTTTTGACATCAGTACCCACAGTGGGTGAGAAAGGTTCCCCCCACATCCGTTCTAAAAGCTCACAGTCCAAAAGGAAGAGTGAGTGTGTAGAGTTGAACATCAAACTGGTAGCTGGCAGTTGCCAAGGTGGATTTTAGAGATCTAGACACTGTGCCCTAACGATTCTCCTGTCCACTATCCTGTCCAGTTATTACTGCCAAATTTGCTTTACAAAGCTGATGCCCTGGTCTGGTCACGCTTTGCTGTTTTCCCTGCTTTCACCCCCTGTGCACATCTCCTTCAGCTCCGGCCAAGGATGGGCTGGAAAGCTGCCATGGAAGAGGCTGGGGTCCTGGCTTTCGAGGGGCTCACAAGGTTCAAGCAAGATTGTCCTTTCCATAGCAGAGATCTCACACATCATGCACAGCATCCTTACCCCAAGAAGCAAAACATGCCAGAAACTCCATGAATACCATGCAGTGCCTGTTGACCAGGCACCTGCAGTACCCAACTCTGCCAGACTGAGACAAATTGTGCCTGAATGGCAATAGGAAAACCTTCTACAATAAAACACCAGTGAAGAACAAGCACCACCCGCTGCCTGCTGCCCCTGCACACCCCTGTGCCAGCTGCTTCACTCCATCATTCACAGCATCTTCCCCCAGGGGCCCCCTAAACCTTGGCAACCCCATGTCAGTGATGGCCACACTGAGGGAGAGTGGTGGCCAGTAGCTGGGTTGTGCCTCTTGCTTCATGGTGCTACAGGGTTCCCCTAAATGCCACAGAGAACAGCCTCATGAGAAGGGGAGTGTCGATGGCTATGAAAATGAAGAGTGGATGTCGCATTCTGGTTTCACAGTTTCAAGACAGGCAAGCCACCTGCAGGTGTGTCCCCATTAGAGAGCAGGTACCCATCTTGATTCCTGTGCCCTAGTTAGTTGCAGGGCAGGAGAACACATCCCTAACGAAAACCTGTAGTGCCGTACACATTGTACCCAAATCTTCCAGACTCCTTTGGAAATCCCATCATTTCAAGCAAGTCTGCTATGCTTATCACAAGGTCAAGGTGCTAGCCTAGAAGACAGTTCTGCAATGAGGTGACACACATTTGCACAGCAGTGATTGAACACCCCACCACAGATTGTATCCTGGAGCTGTCAAAGCTCAGGGGTGACTATGGGCTGCTGGAACAAAATGGAGAAGTAGGACTCTGTTGGACATCTTTTTGTCCCACATGCAGTGGATCTAGGCAGCTTTTTCCCACTTTTACAGTGCAGATTTTCTTCTCAAGCAGCTGGCTTACCTACTGCTACCAGGTAAAAACCTGGTTTTGTGAGGGCAAATTCCAGTAAAGTCAGAAGAATTATCTTATGTTACAAGCTGGTAACACAACACAACCAGTGTTTGGCATTATGACCCCCATAAGCTATTTTTACCTGGTAGAACTTTGGTCACTGTAAGGCACATTAAGTCAGAACCACTTGGGGACCGGGTATTAACTTGCACCTCTCGTTTCTTATCATAAAAAATTAGCTTGCGGCTTTGCCAAGAAACCAGTGCCCTTTAGGTAGTTTGCACCTCCCTCAGAAAAGCAGACAAACCAGCTTTGAGTGAAGCTAGGTATGCAACATAGCCCACAGTCATTGAAGCTAGAAGAAGTTAGAGGTTTCAATGTTTTTGGTGCCTCTGCCATACAGGAAACAAAGCTTTGCATACCTATACTTAACCCAAGTGTTTCAGGGTTATTTTTTGTTTCCAGAGTCAGACCCAGAGACAAGAAGCTGATGTATTTTTGTGCTCTGAAACACGTAAGTGTATTTTAATGGTTGATTGAAACATGCCCACATTCTAGTGACACCAGCACTAAATAACTAAATAATGCAACAATCCACAAAACATTATTTTTAATGGCCTTGATTGTCAGGATGGGGGGAAGGAGGAGGGATAAGAGTACACCAGTAGATTTTTATGTGTTCAAGGCAGTTACTTGGAAGTGAGGCAGCAGAAGTCAGAAGTTAGATGGACAATAAATAGAAACATTTTTAAAGAATTGTTCAGTTTTTTAGGGAGAGTTGTAATAAAGGAACAGAAAATGAAACAAGCCATTTTTGCAAACCATTTCTCCTATGACTTCCACACCTGTTGTACAGCAATAAAGCTGCCAGAATTTAAAATATTTGGTTTTGGAGCAGATAGACCTTTCAGGGTTTTGCTTTGTACATTTTAGTGTCACTTATGAAACAATCTAAAGAAAGTCACTATCTAGAAGCCAAAAACCTCTGGGTATTAGATATAGGAGGCTTCAGTGTTGAATTAGTACTGTTTCTATGGTTCAGACAGTTAAAGGTTTGCCACTTCTGTTTTGCTCTTGTCAAATCTAGAGTTTGGATTCTGCCTGAAACTTGTTTGTTGTTTTCTAGTGCATTGGAAACAAGAGTAGTGGGTCCAGTGAGGAGCCTCTGGCAGCACTGGACTTGTTTCATGTACACAGTTAAAGCCTCCCTGAAATGACATCGGTGTGAACATAACTATGTTCATGCTCTGAACCATAAAAAACACTTTGAAATTAATCTAAAATCTGCCTCTTTCCTCTATTTTTAAACTGTTTTAGCCATGCTTTTTACTTCCAACTTTGTTTCTTAATTTCAGTCATGTGTTACTTGAAGAAAAAACTCCCCAACATAATCATGTTTTACTATCAGGTCTCTCATGTTCAGTAGTGTTTTCCACATATTTCTAGCAAAAGTAAAAGATTGCAGGATCCTAGCAGGATCCATAGTGGCCATAAAAACCCAAGAAGTAGTTTTTTCTCAAAGCCACACTGATACTAAGAAAATGTGAAGGCACAGGAAAGATTTCCTATATGCTCTTTTTAATAGAATAAGACCTTTTGTGTCCAAAGTCTTTTTTAGACATAGCGATTTCCTGCTAGGGACAGCAGCATGCCTGTTTTCCCTCCGTGTGCATGTGATTGTGTTGGCATCTCTAGCATTCTGCACAGTCTGAACCTGCAATTAAAGAATTTCTTCCAGGTTAGAAGAGAATAACTAGACTTCCAAGGATGCAGCCTGCCCGAAGATCTTCTGAGTCTGTGTGATCAAGAGAGGTTGAGTGGGGCTGGTGCCAAGTGATAAAAATGGTTAGATCCTAATTCTATATCCAGCACTGCCACTGGACTTGGAATTTCTGTGAACTGGTGAAAGGTCCCCCATGCATGGGGGTTACAGCATCTGAATGGGTCTCAGAAAGTTGGAATAGGATGGGAAACTATAACCAGTTGTATCTCTACCACAATATTAGAGTTGAGTAATACAAGACTATCATTTCTGCATCTGAAAGAAATACAAATGAGCTACTGCTATTGCTGAGTTGTCACTGCTCTTCCTTCCCAGGCAAATATGTAACTTTACAGAAATGGTGGTTGTGCCAAAAACAAAGAAAAAGTTAGGGAACTAGGAAAAAAGAATGATAAGACAAGACACGAAAAATATTAAGTGAAAATGTAGCAACTTTATCAAAATCTTTACAGTATCTTAGCAGCTAAATGTAAAATAAGAAGATGAACCATAATGGATTGAGGTTCTTTTCAACTTCCTTGCACCTACATATGTATTTATGAGTCTATAAACTGATTAAAAAAAACAGCATAAAAAATTCCAGTTCTGAGCTGACACCATTTAGATCCATTTTGTCTGGGTGTGGGTGACTCCAAAGATTTAGGGGTAAAAAGTGGCAAGAGCAGTGTCTGAATGCAATGCAGTGACATGTAGTGTGTACAAAG